AGCCGGTGATGACTTCAGATAGGCTCCTGTGATGTAAGCCCTTATGTGTGTTTATTCTGAAGTATCATTATAACACAGTCTAAACATGGCCGACCTGCATCGAGGCATCAAACGCGCTGTGAAGATCAATCTGCATTAGCCTGTGCCACATCTGTCCACTCTAGATGTTTATCTGTGAGTCTGTGCGGCGTGTGCAGCGGAGGCGAGGTCACCGCGGAGACACAAGGGGATGAATGAGACGCTAATGTGATAGAAAAGGAGGTAAACAAAATATAATGTGATGGAGTTTGTATGTATTTAATGTTGGCACACTGAAAAAAAAAAAAAAAAGGTTGCTGGATTTGTGTAAAAAAGTTCTGGAAAGCGGTTGCATGCAATAAAATTATGTTTAGGCTTTGAAACTTATCTCGATCCCCTTTACACATATTTTTCTTCGAACACGAACGTCACTTTTTCATGTTGATGAAATTTGATCAAATCATGCTGAATAGGCAGATTTATCTTATGTTACCTTATCGTGAAATGTATAAGTATGTATAATTTAATTTAATTGATCTAATTCTGTAAAATAATACAAAAACAGTCTTTAGTTTTTCACAGTTCTGTCTTGTCTTAAACAGAATCAAACACACAGAGACACACAAGTACAGACACACAGTTTGGAGCTGGACAGTGTGAAGATTTATTCCAGTGGAGAAGCTCTGGTCTCTGCCTGTGGAAACAGGAATAACACATGACGATTACATTATGATGATCTACTCTGTTGTACATGTTTAAATACACTTAAAGTACTTATTACTACAATAATGAACCAGAACAGAAGAACAAGAACATTAGAAGTGTATCTGCAGAAACAAAACTCACCATGTGCTGCTTTTCTTCCTCTAAACGCAGTAACAGGGAGGGCATCTGGTATAAAGTCTCCTAATGCCACATCACCCTGTAGAAACACAATAACTGTTTCAATAGGAAGTTGATTTTGAAAAATGTGTTTAAAATAATTTTAGTTGGTTTATTTACTTTGTTCATCTGTGGTCTGTGTTTTGTTGGTTCTCAAACATCTTCCTTTTTCCTGAAACATGAGCTGTAACATTCATGAACTTCCCCACAGCTCCAGCAGAACCTGGACGTCACTCTGTGTTTGTAGACGATTCTGGAACAAACACATTCAAATCTTAGTACAACTGTCACCCTCTTGTAGATGGACAGTCAAATACAATTTGTTTCAAGGAAACAGTCCTTACATTAACTCTAATTTCAAATAAAACAACACAAACATGTTTTAACAATGACGACATTCTAGGTCGGAGAAGCACATAATAAAATCTTTGAAAAGTCTCACCTCCAGATCAGCTCCATAATCCTCCTGCTCCACACTGTGTGTCTCTGCTCCTGGATCTGTCCTGTGTCCTGCTGCATTTGAATTTTCCCTCCAAAGGTTTTGGGGAGGAGAATTCCAGAGGGAGGAGCCTCACCACAGATTATAATAAAGTCATGTTTCCTCAACCTGATTAAAACATGTAGGTCTCACATCGACCACAATCAAGTGACCTTTGTAAGATTTAAACATGCTGGACAGAGAAATGTAAAAAAGTCATGTTATTGTTGTCAAATTTGTTTTTGCACTTTGAGCAACCTCTCTCGGACCGTTTTTTCAGTGTATGTGTAACTTATCTCGCTACGTATAAGCCCAAAATTGAAAAAAAACCCATTGATGGTTCAGCGTTTGCCATGAAATTCTGGTACGTCGGCATATGCTGGCTAAATCATCAAAGCGTGACAGGGCCTTTATTAGGGATGGGCATGATTAATCGATTAATCGATAATTGATCATTAAGAATTTCATCGATTAAAATGAATGTAATCGACAAACCGAATGTAGGTTGTTGTGTGTAGCGTGACCAAACAGGTGTGTACATGTGTCTCTGCATCAGAAGGAGCGAGACACAAACAGTGGGTCAGTCTGCAACGTACCGAAGCACAAATGTGTATTTAACGATGATTTGTACAAGAAATTCCACACTTTCCGTTGCGTTCGGGACAAGTGTGAGTCCATGTGCACAGTGTATAAAGCAGCACATATGTTTCTGTGTCCAGTGGGAAAAAGTTTTACCAGGTGAGAGTCGCTCAATGTCGATGACGAGTCCCCGCCCCCCTCCCCCCGTACGGTGTCCTGGTTTTGACAAACACAAATCTGGTCACACTAACCTGTATTCACCTGAGTCATGTCTTTTAATCTGACAGAAGTTGAACCACATCAGCGACACAAGAGCTGGAGTTTTATCTTCGCTTAGTTTATGCAAATTAGTGATGTGGTTTTAAGTTTTGTTTCTGTGAAACTTGCGCAAAACTGAATTAAAAACATTATAATGTCAAACAGCTGATGTGGATCTAGAGTCGTTACGGTTTATATGTCGTAAAGTTGAATTTATTTATGCAGATTAGTGCAGATAGTAATAATAATGATGATCATTTTAATATAAAAACATTAATGATTAATCGATAATCGATCGTTAATTCTTCCGACGATCGATTAAGAAAATTTCATCGAATGCCCATCCCTAGCCTTTATACTGTTAAAAATGTTCACACTGACAGAGAGGCTCTAGGCTCGTGTGCTCCTGTACTTCTGTCACGTTGCTTTACTGCGCATGTTGACTGCAGAACAAAGAGGAGGAGCCACTGTCCCGTCTGTATCATGTCAGTCGATCACAACATTACTTCTGTATCACTGACTATTTCAAATTTAAACAAACACAATGACAACTGAAACCATCCTGTCGGGATTCAGAAAGGTCGGGATAATTCTAACTGGAACTGATGCTGACGACAGCTATGCAGAAGAGGAAGCGGCGCTCTGTTTACCTCCTGTGGTCGTGGAGCTGCTCAGAAGTGACACGAATTGAATGGATTTAGTGATTTGGAGTGAGATGGAGAGTTTGTTAAACTTGTTCTGTTCTGTTCATATGTGACGTTAACAGTTTGTTGTTCTCTCTTCTATTGTTGTTACTATAACTTGCCTTTCAAGATGAAGTGTCGGTTCCTGGTCTCTGATTTTATAAAATAAGTTATGCATTTTTTTGGCTGGTGCTACTTATACTCCGGAGCGATTTATAATCTGGAAAATACGGTATATGGATTTGACATGTACAATGCAGTCAAAAGTTTGGACTCACCTTCTTATTCAGGGTTTTTTTGTTGTTTTTTTTCTCCATATGTTTACAGCTTTAAACATTTTATACACACAGAAGACATCAAGCATATGAAGTAACTAGGGATGTAACAATAACCAAAATATCGTGATATTGTATCGTCAAAGTTCTCACAATAATATCATCACAATATATCGAATTACAAGTCTCTTTGCTTAAATTAAGAGATGTGGTGCAGAAATAGCTACAAAAAAAGATAGAGGGAACTACATAGACCATGATCCTTTGCTCCATTTCAGTGTAGAGTATAATAGATAATAGAAATAACAGTTCTAAGCACTTTTAAGTCTTAGTTCTTTTGATTAAAAAAAAAAAAAAATCATATACATTGCAAACTTCTAATCTATATTTGGTACTTTGGTTTAAAGACTTGAAATGACTTGAAGCTCAAAGTAGACTTGGACAAGACTTGACTTGGACTTATGGGCCAGAGACTCGAGCCTCGACTTGGACTTTCCTGTATTTGACTTGGGACTTGACTCGGACTTGAGGTCAAAGACTTGAGACTTACTTGAGACTTGGAAAACCGACGACTTGGTCCCACCTCTGATACTGATTGTTCAGAGACACGATCACTCAGTCGACAATAAAATATCATCATTAATGTTCAATAATGGTCAAATCCACCTTTATTTTGTGATTTACAGTGTTGGGAGTAACGCGTTATAAAAGTAACCAATTACTGTAATGTGTTGCTTTTTGCTGTAATGCAGTAATGTTACGGCATTACAGGGGAAAAAATTGTAATATTTTACTCAGTACAAATGTGAGTATCGTTAGTTACAATGCATTTTTAACCTCGATTGAAGTGGTGGGTTTTTAATTTTTCTTCATACAAATTTGCTAAAATCGCTGCGGTGAAACGGCGGAGACGAAAGGACCGGCACAGAACTCCACACTCCACGGGGCCGCAGCCGACGCCCGCTCGTGCCCTGCAGACACACTGTTCCACGGGCTCGGGGTTCTCTCAGGAGAGGTCCTAGATTCCAAATTCTAGTCCAAGATTAGTCCTGGTTCAGCTCTGGTTTAGTCCTGGTTTAGATCTGGTTCAGTCTTGGTTTAGTCCTGGTTCAGTTTCGGTTTAGTCCTGGTTTAGTCCTGGTTCAGTTCTTGGTTCAGCTCAGGTTTAGTTCTGGTTTAGTTCTGGTTTAGAGCTGGTTTAGTCTATATACAGCGCAAAAGTTCAGTTAAGTTACAGTTTTAAAGTAACTTACCCAACAGTGGTGATTTATGAATAATGTCTATTGACTTGGTACACAAGATTTTTAAAATATGAGTCCCCAGAAAAAAAGTTTGGGAAACACCTATTTCTATTTATACTCTTTGGCAGTATAAATTGTAATTTTGCACAACATTTGGAACTTACACTGTTTTCCTGAAAATATTTATGAAGGTATTTACGAATGAATGTGCGCTTAGTTTAAAGACGTGCTTATAGACATGTTTTCCTGATATTTATTGCTATGTAAAAAAAAAAAAAAAAGGATGAAACTGTAACAAAATTAATCATAAAATTCTTAAATGATATGGTTGAAAATGAAATCTCAGCTGTTCACAAGCAAAACTATAAAAATACAAAATTTGGAGGTTATTTTTTTCTCTCTCCAAATCCTCTTTCCGTGAGGCGTTTGCTGAAATCTTCAACACCAAACTGCAACCAGCGTCTCTCTCTCTCTCTCTTTTTCTTTTTTTCTGCACACACACACACACACACACACACACACACACACACACACACACACAGTATTGTCCCGGCTGTAAACTCCGCCCCCTTCCATTATAGCCCCTCCCTCTCTCTCTCTCCTTCTCTCTCCTGTCTCTCCGTTTCTTACTCTTTCCATTCTGAGTCCAGCCCTGCCCCTGAACACATCACACAGCCGCTGCTCCTGGACTTTTTGGAAATCTTCTGGAAATTTAAAAAAAAAAAAAAAAAAAATTCTCTAAAAAAATACATTTAAAAAAAAAAATCAAAACGAGACAATTTCACATGGACTATATTTCCGTCATCTTTTCTCACCATTTCTGAATCTGGAATTTAACTTTTCCCGTCGGATATTGCGGGATTTGGACGGGATTTTTGCAGAATGGAAGAAATTTGGGGCCGAGCGAAGGATTGAAAGTGGATATTTTGATTACATTTCTGAGGAACAGATGAAGAGATAGACAGAAGAGAGAGAGAAAGAGAAATGGACAGATCAGGTGGGGATGTGTAAATGGTCTAAAAGAGGAGCCGGATACATGTGCAGACAGGTACGGAGCAAAAGTGTGGAATTTTCTCAAGAAACTGTCAATTTTAACAAAATACTACGACTCTGACTCGACTGCATGTGTCAGGAAATGCTTTTTTATTTTAATTTTTTTTGTATGATCATGGTGGTTATGATTTAAAGCTGAAAACGACATCGACTAAACCAAAACTAAACCAAATATTTCCAAAAAAATACTGCACATCACAATGTTTAAAACTGAATTTGTGTTTGCAGTTTTGTGGGGTTTTCTTCGCAGACTGCAGAGATTTTGAGTTCTGGTTCTGTTTGTTTTAGACCAGATGCCCTTCCTGTAAAAATCCTGGTTTAGATCTACTTTAGACCTGGTTTTAGTCCTGGTTTAGATCTAGTTTAGACCTGATTTTAGTCCTGGTTTAGATCTAGTTTAGACCTGGTTTAGATCTAGTTTAGACCTGGATTTAGTCCTGGTTTAGATCTAGTTTAGACCTGATTTTAGTCCTGGTTTAGATCTAGTTTAGACCTGATTTTAGTCCTGGTTTAGATCTAGTTTAGACCTGATTTTAGTCCTGGTTTAGATCTAGTTTAGACCTGGTTTTAGTCCTGGTTTAGATCTAGTTTAGACCTGATTTTAGTCCTGGTTTAGTTTCCAGCAATGAGTGGAATTACCAATTTAAAAAAATTAAATAAATAAAAATAATGTGAAAACAGGAAAATCCCACAGTGTAATCCATTTATTTCAACAAAGTAACTGTAATCCAATTACCACTCACTGAAACAGTAACTGTAACTGAATACAGTTACTCATAATTTGTACTCTGATTACATAACTCCGGTACATGTAATCTGTTACTCCCCAACACTGGTCCAAGTAAATTATTAGTATTATACATTTTCTAATACCTTTTCCAGGCCGTGAGTTGAGATTTGCTTAGATTTTTTTTTTATGTTTGAGGTCCACATTTGTCACTAAAGCTCAGAAAAGTACTTTGGGTCTGGGGCTCTGGTGAATTGTTGGTACATGTACTTATACTTCTTCCGGGCAAACTGCAGTGATTTGAGTTTTGTTTTATTTTTACATCGGATGGTCGTCCTTGTTCTCTTCCTAAAACTCTGTTTATTCAGACTTGTCACGCGATATGAAGTGAATTGTTACTATTATACATTTTCTAATATTTTTCATAGAGATGATTCAGAACTGGTTTAATCTCTTATAGTGTAGACCTGGTTTAGACCTGGTTTAGACCTGGTTTAGACCTGGTTTAGACCTGATTTAATCCAGATTTAGATTTGGTTTAGTCTTGGTTGAGACCTGGTTTAGACTTGGTTAAGACGAGGTTCAGATCTGGTTTAGACCTGGGTTAAACCTGGTTTAGTTCTGATTTAGATCTCGTTTAGTCCTGGTTTAGACTTGGTGTAGTTCTAGTTTAGCCCTGGTTTAGAGCTCGTTTAGTGCTGGTTTAGACCTGGTTTAGTCCTGGTTTAGACTTGGTTTAGACTAGGTTCAGTTCTGGTTTAGACCTGGGTTAAACCTGGTTTAGTTCTGATTTAGATCTGGTTTAACCCTGGTTTAGACCTGGTTTAGTCCTGTTTTAATCCTGATTTAGATTTGGCTTAGTCCTGGTTTAGACCTGATTTACTGCTGATTTAGACCTGGTTTAGTTCTGGTTTAATCCTAATTTAGACTTGGTTTAGTTCTGATTTAGTCCTGGTTTAGACCTGGTTCAGATCTGGTTTAGTCCTGGTTTAGTCTTGGGTTAGACCTGGTTTAGTTCTGACTTAGGTCTGGTTTAGTCGTAGTTTAGATCTAGTTTAGACCTGGTTTAGACCTGTTTTAGACTTGGTTTAGACCTGGTTTCTGGTTTAGACCTGGTTAGACCTGGTTTAGTTAGTTACCTGGTTTAGTTCTGGTTTAGTTGGTTTACTGGTTTAGACTGGTTTAGACCTGTTTAGACCTGGTTTAGACCTGTTTTAGACTTGGTTTAGACCTGTTTTAGACCTGGTTTTTTAGACCTGGTTTCAGACCTGGTTTAGACCTGGTTTAGACCTGGTTCAGACCTGGTTTAGACCTGGTTTAGACCTGGTTTAGACCTGGTTTAGACCTGGTTTTAGACCGTTAGACCTGGTTTTAGACCTGGTTTAGACCTGGTTAGACCTGGTTTTTCTGGTTTAGGTCTGGTTTAGTCCTAGTTTAGATCTAGTTTAGACCTGGTTTAGACCTGTTTAGACCTGACCTGGTTTGGACCTGGTTCAGACTGGTTCTGGTTTAGACCTGGTTTAGACCTGGTTAGACTTGGTTTAGACCTGGTTTGGTTAGGTTTGGTTTACCTGGTTTAGACCTGGTTTGGTTTAGACCTGGTTTAGACCTGGTTTAGACCTGGTTCAGACCTGGTTTAGACCTGGTTTAGACCTGGTTGGACCTGGTTTAGACCGTTAGACCTGGTTTAGACCTGGTTTAGACCTGGTTCAGACCTGGTTTAGACCTGGTTCAGACCTGGTTTAGACCTGGTTCAGACCTGGTTTAGTCCTGGTTAAACCTACGTGTGCAGGTGCAGATGATTCCAGGTTTTGGCCTCGTCTTTTTTCACATTTCTTCCCGTTTAATCCTGATTTGATACACTTCTGTGCACTCTTCCCCCCGTCCGCTCCTATACAAATCCTGTATTGTCAGAGTTAAAGCGCGTCAGCCGCTGTGGAGTCGGCTTGTCCAAACTCCACAGGCTCAGATCACTTTGGCCCCGGGGCTCTTCTTCTCCCAAAACCTGGAATTACAGCATTCCCAGAGTTTCCTGCAGGAATTTCCCTTCCGACACCAAAAAAACCCAGCACTTTTTAACCAGGCGGCCGCTTATCCGTAATTACTGCGCACATTTTGTCCTTTATCTAAATGGATCTACGGGCTCAAGTGATTGGGAGATGTTGGGATAAAACACTGGACAATTGTCTGGATTTTGGTTGAATTATTTATTTCTCTTGATTTGACAAAGCTGTGGTGCATTATTTAAAGTCACACTATGTCACTTTTTCGGTGAGGGGTCAGCCACTTGCTCGTTTCCATGGAGATTTTATTACTTTGCCCAGAATATTACAGTGTTAAATTGATCCATAAATAAAATTCCTTGAAAATCTTGCATTTTTAAAGGACACATACAGTCAGTGTTGGGGAGTAACAGATTACATGTACCGGAGTTATGTAATCAGAGTACAAATTATGAGTAACTGTATTCAGTTACAGTTACTGTTTCAGTGAGTGGTAATTGGATTACAGTTACTTTGTTGAAATAAATGGATTACACGGTGGTATTTTTCTGTTTTCACATTTTGGGCTAAACCAGGACTAAGACCAGGACTAAACCAGGACTAAACCAGGTCTAAAACAGGACTAAAACAGGTCTAAAACAGGACTAAACCAGGTCTAAACCAGGTCTAAAACAGGACTAAACCAGGTCTAAACCAGGTCTAAACCAGGACTAAACCAGGTCTAAAACAGGACTAAACCAGGTCTAAACCAGGTCTAAACCAGGACTAAACCAGGTCTAAAACAGGTCTAAAACAGGACTAAACCAGGTCTACATCAGGTCTAAACCAGGTCTAAACCAGGTCTAAAACAGGACTAAACCAGGTCTAATCCAGGTCTAAAACAGGACTAAACCAGGTCTAAAACAGGACTAAAACAGGTCTAAACAGGTCTAAACCAGGACTAAACCAGGTCTAAACCAGGTCTAAAACAGGACTAAACCAGGTCTAATCCAGGTCTAAAACAGGACTAAACCAGGTCTAATCCAGGTCTAAACCAGGACTAAACCAGGTCTAAACCAGGTCTAAACCAGGACTAAACCAGGTCTAAAACAGGTCTAAAACAGGACTAAACAGGTCTAAAAGAGGAGTAAACCAGGTCTAAAACAGGACTAAACCAGGTCTAAAACAGGACTAAACCAGGTCTAAACCAGGTCTAAACCAGGTCTAACCAGGTCTAAACCAGGACTAAACCAGGTCTAAAACAGGACTAAACCAGGTCTAAATCCAGGTCTAAACCAGGACTAAAACAGGTCTAAAACCTGGTAGATCATTTTAATTATCAAGCTGAATCTAGTCAAATAAAGTCAAATGATCTTAATTTAAATCATTTTAATTTACCTAGAAATTGCTTCTTTTTTTTTCCGGTGTAGGAGCTTCATCTGTGAGTGGACTCGCCTTTCCACACTTCTGACTTTTAACATGACCCGTAGGCAGTGTTGGGAATGTTACTTTTAAAATGTATTCCCCTACAGATTACAGATTACATACCCCAAAATGTAGTTTGTAACAGAATCCATTAAATTACTTCAAGTGAGTAATGTAATCTGAATACTTTGGATTACTTGATATTGTCATGTTTTTTAAAACTACATGAATGTAACAACCACATCCTGAAAATTCTTTGTTTTCTTTGTTCTCTTCAAATTGACCCTGGTTTAGTCCTGGTTTAGTCCTGGTTTAGTCCTGGTTTAGTCCTGGTTTAGACCTGGTTTAGTCCTGGTTTAGTCCTGGTTTAGTCCTGGTTTAGACCTGGTTTAGTCCTGTTTAGACCTTTAGTCCTGGTTTAGTCCTGGTTTAGTCCTGGTTTAGTCCTGGTTTAGTCCTGGTTTAGACCTGGTTTAGTCCTGGTTTAGTCCTGGTTTAGACCTGGTTTACTGGTTTACCTGGTTTAGTTTAGTCCTGGTTTAGTCCTTTAGTCTGGTTTAGTCCTGGTTTAGACCTGGTTTTAGTCCTGGTTTAGTCCTGGTTTAGCTGGTTTTAGTCCTGGTTTAGTCCTGGTTTAGACTGGTTTAGTCCTGGTTTAGACCTGGTTAGTCCTGGTTTAGACCTGGTTTAGTCCTGGTTTTAGTCCTGGTTTAGTCCTGGTTTAGTCCTGGTTTAGTCCTGGTTTAGACCTGGTTTAGTCCTGGTTTAGTCCTGGTTTAGTCCTGGTTTAGTCCTGGTTTAGTCCTGGTTTAGTCCTGGTTTACCTGGATCCTGGTTTAGACCTGGTTTAGTCCTGGTTTA